TTTGCTGCTATGTGAAGGATGAATGGATGAGCTTTCTGGGACTAGTTCAAAGGTGTCCTTTGAAGTTCAGTGAGTGACTGAGATTCGCTATGCCATCCTTTGAGAGCAAGTTGTGGCACACAGCAAGGAGAGACAACTATAGTTGGGAAAGAGAGGGAACAGAAACAAAGAGGAAGGCTGAGAGAGCTTCTCTCCTTGGGATGACTATCACACCACCAGCAAAGCACTGAGTTTTAATGTTATATCTTAATGTAAGAGTCAAGGCTTTGTGCATGAGGGAAGTCAGTTGACCAGAGCCAGCAGCAGTACTCAGGACTTTCACTGAGAACTGTCTAAGACCATACTTCAGACCATCATAAAAACAGCCTGCATTTTAACGAGGCCTCAAGTTCTTCATGGGCACAATGATTTGGAGCATTTCTGTTTCTATGCGAATATCAAAATATGATATATCAACAAGTGAAAATCAAACTCTCATAAAAATCACTGTTCTCTTTTCTAAATATAAGTATGTTACATTCTTCTGACTAGGGAATGATGTCACTTTGTGTTGGTCAACTTAATTCTATTTTTTGTAATTTTTTTTATTAGTTCAAATTAGGAACAAGCTTGCTTCACATGTCAATCCCTTCTCCCTCTCCCTCTCCCTCCCCTCACCCCTCCCCTTCCTCCCCTACTCCTCACCCCATCCACCCTCCACTCCCCAAACAGGGTAGGGCCCTTGATGGGTGCTCCCCAAAGTCCACCACATCATCCTGGGCCGGGCCTAGGCCCCTTGTGTCCAGACCGAGACATGGGATGGGCTCTCAAAGACCCTTCTTACACCAGGGAAAAATACTAACCCACTACCAGGGGCCCCCTAGAGTTGGTCAACTTAATTCTAAACACAGAGGATCTGTCTACATAGTTGCTTTCCTATGATTAAAGGAAAACAGGAAATACACTTTGCCTTTCAATCAGCTGAGGGTTTGGAATTGGAAGATTAATATACCAGTTGGTCAGATTGCTTATTTTCTCTTTTCTACCTATTGCCAAACAGCTGCATGAAAATGAAAAATCAAAATATTAGGTTATTGGCTCTGCCCTACATAAACCATGTGTATATTTGGCTAAATTATTTAACTTTTGCTACTTGTAAGAAATGTAGTCTTCACACTCTAGAGAAAATAATGAGCCAGAAAAATTAAAACTTTTCAACCATTTCAAGGTAAGAAAAAAAAATCTAAGTTCCCAAAAAGATTAGATTTTTGACTTTCAGCATTTAACACAAACTGTGAGGGTTTGTCTGTGATGTGTTTGGCTCATCCCTCTGTGATCTGGCCACACTTCCCAATGTGTGCTTATTGTAAATTCAGAATGGCTGAGAAACTTCCTGTTCAGATAGCTCATTTTCATCTGATCCCAATTTTCCCACCCAAGGCTCAGACCACCCATGGCAAATAAACAAAATTGCCACCAAGAGCTAATTTTGTAATGAAAACAATTTGAGCACAAATGTGTGAAAGCAGAAACTTCTGTTAATCTTTTCCTTTTGAATGAAGGTTTGATGCCATGATTCAATTCTTAATTTATTAATTTGCTTGCACGTGCAAGGCACAGGTCATTGTGTCCTCACTGTAGCTTTAAATTTTGAGGGTGCAGAAACATACAGTTGTTTCTATGTTGTTATTTCTAAACACAAAGCATTTTCCAGGTTGCTATTTTTTTATTAAAGGGTAATACTTATACCTCTTTCTTGATTGTTTTAAAATATGAATATTATTGATAAATATGACTTGAAAGTTAAATAACCATGAGATGTGGTGAATCCTGCATAAATATAATGTACTGTTATTGAAAAAATGTGTTTTCTTTGAGACATTTTAAGATTAATAACACGTTCTTGTATCTGGGCCTATCTAGTAGTATGTAACTTAGTATGTCCAATTCTGCCATCAAAACTTTCATTTTCCAAAAGATTTCTTTCTGAATGTTGAAAGCAGCAGTTACCCCTTTTAACCCAAATAATTTTTGTGGGACTAAAACTTTTGAAAAGTTTATCAGAGCACATTTCAAAAGCACATCCATGCAAATTTGAAATTTTGAGAAAAATACATCATCATTAAATGAATTTATTGGTGTTATTTGTATTTTCATTGCTATGAGAAGAAAAGGGAGTAGAGTTCCATGAGGTTTTGACAAGATCTAATCCTAACTAGGATGCACTAGTTCATCCTAGTTTAGAACACTGACCTGGAATGGAACAGAGTAAATCATGAGATGTTCATGAGGGTATGCTAATTATCTATGCATAAAGGTCTCTGGAGAAGACAGATTTGATTTTTCTCCCATATCACCTTTGGTCTCTGGTAGACAGTGAAACTCTCATTGAGTTATTGCACAATTTAAGGAAGAAACAGTGACTTTGAATGTTGAAAGTATTGTATTTGTAGGATTGAGATATTCAAAGAAAAGATGTTGTACAGTCTACACGATCTACAGTTTTGACATTAAGCCTGGGGTGAGGGCAAATGGAAACCAATCTTCAGTATCAAGTTGTAGTTGACAACACAGTGGTGAATGGGATGCAGAGTTTCCCTCTTCATCTTATTCTTACTCTCAGTCTGCTTTGGTTCAGCTTTCACAAGTACAATCTGTTCATATACTAAAATCTGTAGAGTAAAAAGTGAAGTCATATAGGTGACTAGGACATACACACACTTCTTTCTTCCTGTAAAGAAACCAGAGGAAGCACAGTACAAGAAACGAACAAAAAAAAACAAAAAAACAAAAAAACAACAACAACAACAAAAAAAAGCCTTGGAGAGGCAAAAAGAAAATTAGGAAAGTAGAAGACCAAAAGGAGGCAAACTTTCAAAAACAGGGAGCAGCGGTCTTTGCAAATAGTTCAGAAAAGTTGGCTTATTTGAAAGACTGAAATTTATAGATATTATTTAGTGCACAGAGGCATTTAATTGCCCTATTTAGAAGAGAACGAGAGGGAAGGGCAGGACCCTGAATTTCCCAGGTTGAGATGAACCATTTGACCCTCATTTTGAAAGGTTCCAGGACTTATTTGTCTACTAATTGATGAGTTTCAGCTTTGGACCAGTACTAGTGCTTCTGATGCCCAGATGACACTCTAGAAAATTTTCAAGGTCTAATGACCATAAACTATAGTGTGAGTCTGTTATGGTGCTCTGAAATAAATATGAGTCCACAGTTGTGCCTTAACTGTGGGCTGTGTTACAGTATAACCTGAACCTGAACCTAACATAATAGTGAATAATGCTTTCTTATGCTTAAATATTCAAGTATATTGCACCAGGAAGGGAATAATCCAGGTAAGTGATGCATATGGACACTTCATGAGAGTTCCTGTGTTGTCTATGTAAAAAGATGAGAGTTGCATATGTAAATGAGAAAGCATCACATAGCACCAACTGCCAACTCAGAACCTAGAACGTCTTGAACCTCATTTCCTCATCTCTGAAATGTGGGTAATGACAACAGCTGACAGCTTCTGGGCAGGCAAATTTCAGTTGTTATTTTTAAGGGTGTGGCTGCTGGTGGGTCGACTTCACTCCAGTGGATGGCACTATACCAGTGAGTAAATTGAACTAGATGGGTTATTTAAGGAGAAAAACAAAACAAAACAAAAAAATATAAGAGGATACAAATGGGGCGAGGCGGTGGATGGAGATTTGGGAGGAATTAGATGGAGGAAGTGGGGGGTGAATATAATCAAGCTATGTTCTAAGAACTTCTCAACACATTAATAAAATATATTAAAACAAACAGCTAACTCAGTTACAGTTGTGAGGATGGGATAGATCCCTGGCATGAAGTACAGTATCCAGAAATAACCGTAATTATTCTGGGAGGCATGAAAATGGAGGCATGAACAATGAACGGGTTAAGAACCAAAAGAGAGCATTGTGGAGAAGAGTGAATCTCTCACTGAGAAATCAAAGAGATAAAACAGACTCCATGGGTTATTGTGAAGACAATAAATGAAAAGAGGGACTGGCTCTTTAGAGGTACTGTCAGTGAGGGTGCTGTTCTAGCAAGATGGTTTTTATTTGACAGAACTCTGCATTAGTGATAGGAGGCGGCCATTATTTGTCAGGCACACCCAGATCACCTTCAGTATTGGGAGGGTGGGATTTGATGATGGATCGATCGTTAAGGGACCTTAACTTTTAAGTCCTGACAAATACCTCAGTGTTTTAAGAAATCTGGTGCATAAATATTCCCAGAATAACTGGAAAATACAGTCTCCAAGTTTCGTGGACATTTTATGTTACTTAAAGAAGTCATTAAAGATGGGCTTTGAGTGAGAAGAATGTATTTCCTCGTTAACCCAGTTAGTTTGAGTCTCTGATTTAATTACTTTGGCAGTTTGCCTTTTGATATTTTCCAGTGTTATTTTTCCCTTGGTTTTCTCCAAAATGAAATAAAGACTCAAAAACTTAATTCTGTTGCTGGCGTCACTAATGAATAATTTATTATGTTGGCTTAGAACTGTGTACCAAAGCCTCCTTAATTTTCAAAATAAAATTAGGAAACTTATCATTGGAAGACCTTGATTCTGCGCTCCTCAATAGGTCGGATTCTGCAAAGGAATGCAATGATAATTTATTTCTGTCATCTCTGAAGCTGAGGGGAGAGCAACAGCAACAACATTTTTCTTAAAGGCAAATCACACACAAAATTTCAGGTCAAGGGGATGAACAGGGAAAGAAAGCATCTTGCAAAAGCTGAGCTTCCCACCCCCTCCCACAGTTCTGGGAGGAATGACTTCAGTGGCTCCTAACTGATTCTGTCACTGTAAAATCCTACAGTCATTCTTCCACACATAAAGGACAAATAGGCAGAAAAGGAGGACCTTGATGCTTTCAGTTTTAACTCTTCACCAATAGTGGAAAAGGCAGAATGCCTAAGCTATGGCTCTGTGGCCAATAGGATGGCTGTGTGTCTCTCACATGACTGCCTGCCCCTGCCTTTCGCATGGGCTCTAATTTAGTTCAATTCAGAACTGCAGATAGTACGGTTTCCACAGGAGCAGGGATGCCTGAGCACAAGTAGCTGAGTTCCGAGGGACTTTAGGAAATGCTTCCCTGGCTTCCTGGGCGTGCAAACAGGAGTCTGCACCTGCACTCCAGTCAGGCTGGGGAGAAGCCCCTGCTCTGCCTGCAGGGACGAGGAACTACAGCAAGAAGCAGCAGTGGGGAATTGTAAGTATACATTTCTTCCCGTCTAGGGTGCTGATTAAAATAGTTTTCTGCCAGAAGCAGAAGGTTTTCGAAGATTTGTCGGAGAATTCTTTTATGTGTACTTTGAAAGGGAGCCAAGGGGCAGGGAAGTATTCCAGGGGCATTTGTTGCATGCTTTCTTATGTGGAAGATAAAGAATTAAAAAAAAGAAAAAAGAAAAAAGAAAAGTCAGGCTTTCTGCAGAGTAGCTAGCTGCAGGAGGCTACACACTGGGAATGTGCTTCAGCATGCTGCTTTGTTCATAGGGAAAAATGAAGGCACCCACATATGCACTTAGTTGATCTGCTCTCTCTTTATGTCTAATCAGGTTTGATTTGTCCCCAGGCAAAATAAAAGACAAACTTTGCTGACTCCACTGACTAGGGCACCCCACACTTTCCAGACATCTGACAGTTATTATAATTAGCCATGAAAGACTGCTAAAGACACTTGGAGGCAAATAGCTCTTAAATCTGAACAATGGCTTCAAGCCAGGGCTTTCTTTTGATTCATTTTTGAAGTGTTTTAAATTTCATAATAATGTCAGAGACCTAACTGGGTTTTGGGTTTTGTCCACAAAATTTGAAATAATGTCGGAGAACGAGTGAGGGCAGCGGAAAGTGGCCAGTGTGGAGAAGGAAAAGACAGCTTTCTGTCTTAGGAGCCAGGCCTCCATAGAAAGATTTTTTTTTTTTTAAATTCCTAATAGGGTGGGGTGAGGATGTGTGGGTGGGGAGGAAGCATGCCGAAGCTTCTTCATAGAAGAATCCTCAAAGAATAAAATATTTTAGGATGTCTTCCTGCCGGAGGGGCAAAGCTATAGCTTACATCTAAGTTGCATTTGTGGTAAGATTTTTTTTTTTTTTTTTTTTTTTTCTGGATGGAGTTTTAAACAGAAGTGACATTCAAAGCAGTGTTTTTTTTTTCTTAAATTTATACAATAATTGGAAACAAATGGTAGAAAATGTTCCTACCACTGCTTTCTTTTCATATTCAGCTAGAGTAATCCAGCGATGCATTATGTCTTTCCTTCCAGAATCACCAAATCCTTAAAAAGTTCTAAGTTTAGTCTCGTAAGAAATGAAACTGCAAATCAAAACCGTGTGATTATGACTGATGAGGACTTTGGACAACAAAGCCTCTGCCCGAAAGAGAGTTTATAACAACACACTGCCCTCCCCATTTTTAAAAGAGAATATTAACTCCATCAATTATTGAAAGGAATTATTCAAAGGCTCCAGACATAACTAATTATGGCTTAGCGAGGTACTAGGGCTGAGCCGGTGCTGTAATTACAAAAGTCCAAGACATTAGGAATCTTTTTTTTTTTTTTTAAAGGAGGCTTGAGCACGAATTTTCACATAATCTTTTAAAAATACACCAGTTTTTCTTTGTCTGCTCTCATGTTATCTACACCTCCCCCACCGCCGCCCACTGTGTGCTGAGACACCTGAAGGCTAGCCATAATGATCAACAGAGCTCCAGCCTGTCTGGACTCCAGCCAGGGTGTTTTTTTTTTCCCCCCCCCCCCCCCTTCTACAATCAAGGAGCTTGCACGCAATGCATGCCGAGCCTATTCCACCGCTATGTGCAGATCCGGGATGGAAGTCGTACACATACTGCGGAAAGATTAAAGACAACAATATCCCCTTTCTCCTACCCTAGACAGACTCAATTTTTAACCCTTTCATTACCTTTAAAACCAAGATGTATCAAGCACTGGAAGGCAGGTCTCCAGGGACTCTGCAACTCCCGCACCATTTCACAGAAGCACACACCTCATTTGGTGTGGAAACCCCATCTCCACGGATCCTGGCAGAATATTTGAGGATTCACAGTGTGTTAACTAAACAAAACAGAATTTGCTTGTGCGGAGAAAGCATTTTTGAACAAACTTAAGCTCTATAAGATCTCGGGGCTGTGGGGAAGGGGGGGGTAAAAGTCGGAGGTCTGTGGGAAGGTTCTTGGAAGCTTTGCAGAGGGCTGCAGAGGGTTTCTGAGGTTGCTGTACTGGAAGCATCGTTCTGTTTGCCCCGGGTGTCTTCCTCTCATTCTTTCTCACACACACACTTAAGATGCACACACCAGCCAGACAAATACATCACTCTATCACAGCAAGGCCAGGTTAGCTGGTGATGTCATCACAGATTAAATTTCGCCTTTGTGGGCAACATTTTCGATCACCTAGACGCCAGCGTCTGCTGGGTGTGTGCCCATAGGAAGTTCAAGTGTTTGTGGGGTTAACCGACACCCACAGGGAAGCAGTCTTTTATTCGGAGCCATCTCTCTGTGTATTGAAGATGTGTTTACGGGGTAGGATGGGTGTGCTTATCATGATGTGTGTAGTTAAGCAGAGTTCTCTGTTCTAGGACGCCTTATTAATATGCTGATTGAACATGTCAGAGGTGGCTGAATTTCAATATGAATACGTGTAGAAATGAACAGCATTTTAAAATCATTTGGCTCGAAATTTTACAACAGTAACCATCATTATGAATCAACATCTGTCATTTGTTATTAATTTTGGTGACTTTTAAATGATTTTTTTGCTATTACAATTCCTCAAGGGAAGGTTAATTTGTACGAATGATTGAAGTGATGTTCTCGTGCCTTTGTGAGCAGGATTCTGCATTATATGAAACTTGGATGCAGTTTGTGCAGCAGTTCACTCTATTTTTCCTTTTTACTTTGTGGGTCTTGCCCTTAAGAGTCACTCACCAAACAAGTATTCAGATCTTTATGAACATACATGTGATATTATTTTATTTTTATTGTATCAAATGGGAAAGAGATAATTACTTTTACCATACTATGTGACTGGATTTGAGACACAAATGGAGAAAAAGTCTAAATATATGCTATGCCTTAGCTATCAAGTTTTGATATGTAACTTAAGAATAATATTGAATGGTGGGGTGTTTACCAGCTTAGACATGCCTGGCATTGAAGATACAATTTTGTAAGCTCTGAAATTCATTCTCTGAAGTTCTAATTTAGGAAGAGATTTTCAAAGCACATGTATTCGAAGAGTTCCACTAATGTATTAGCAATCAATGGATTTGTTTGCCAATATATTATGTGATTGTTTAAAAGCAAGAGAATAAAAAATAGTTACTTCAATTGGCTATTGTTCAGAAAAGTTTATAGTTGAATTGACACATTTTGTTCTTAGAAAAAGCAATTTAGACAAGTTGAGTGATATTTCTGTGGTGTAACGCTCCACTGTAAACCAATAAATAGCTTTTTTGGAGGCATGACTTTCTAGCTTTATGTAAACAATCCCAACACAAACTGGACTTCTGACCTGATGAAAACTAATTTAATTTCTTTATCAAAGAGAGCAAGTGAATAAATAGTTTTATTTAGAGTCCACCTACTTTCTGAAAGCCAGGCCTGCCATGGCCCTCTGGGGATCCAGGTTACTAGAAAGGCATCTTTCAAAGACAAGAAGATAATAGACTTGATTGAAATAGTTGGACTACGTAAGACCAATTCAAGAACAAATGGTTTTTCAGAGCATAGCGAAGAAAGAACAATTTCCTATAGTTTATTCTCCTTTCACAATGGTAATGATTTATTGGAAATGGCAGGGCGAACAGTAGATAGATGTACCCAAACAGAAAATAACCAGAGGTATTTTATGTCAGGGATGCATCAAAATTCTTGGTTTATAGAGATGATTCTCCCTCCAAGTTTCTTGTTGTAGATTTTGTTGACTATGATCCTCAGGGTTAGGAACAGTGTACACATTATATTTAACATGTACATTAAAATACAGTCTTGTGACCTCAATTTGTGTTTGTTATTATATTATGTGAGTGTTTGAAATGTTGTAAACTATGATATATTCTAATATAATGAAATTTGGATAACAACAACAACTAGCTCTGATTCTTCTAAGTGAGAATCATGCTCAAATATTGAACAAATGAGTTTATTGATGAAATAATTATTATGGGTACTTCACGGGGGGGGGGGGAATCAACCCCAAACTCCAGTCCTAACTGAATGAACAGAACAAAAATTACTACAAAACCAAACAGTTTTTGAGTACTTGGATGATTTCTAAAAGTAGACTCAGCTGTCATAATCTCTCTTCATGAAGAGAGAGATTGTGTTTTTCAGCTTAGCCTGTAGGCTGAAGGTCTGATATTATTGTGCACAGATGCCCAGGCGCTGTTCAGAGAGCACACAGGAAACTCTGGCTGCAATAAGCAAAGAAGGGAAGCTGGTTTGGCGGCTTTATGCTGCAAATTTTATTCCTCCAATCTGGATGCATGCTACACTCAAAATTAATTTGAGTGAAGACTATCAAAGTTATTTTTGTAGCTTACAAAAGAGCCACTGTTTTGTTAGATGCCCCGTGAAGGAAGAGAGTTTGAAAAGTGATTGACTGACCCTCTGCGTGCAACCCACTCAGGCTCAGTGAGACACTGGGGTCAGACGGGTTCATGAAGCACAGATAGGAAATGAACCAAATGCATATTTGGAGGTTTAAAAAAACATTTAGGACCATTTTTGTTAAACCATACACGGATTTGGGGATGATTTTTTGGCACATCTTTTAAAATACCAATCCTTAGTTCAGCTGAAACAACTTCTTATACGTATAGCTGAGGCCAGATGGCCGCATGCTCCTTTCTTATTTAGATGAGACTCTCCCTTTCAATAACATCTTTCTTTCCTGACCTGCTTAAAAATTCCAGCGAATGAAATCAGCAGAGGATTTTCAATTCTAATTGACCATGTGCAGAGGAAGGGCCAGGACAGAAATCAGTGGAGGCATTGTGAGCCTCAGTTCTGTCTTTGTATTTTACCCTTACTAGGCAATCTGAACTAACTGCAAATACTTACAATTTTTAACATTAAGAGAGCTGCAATACTATTCCTCAGTGAGAATTATTTGATTGATCTAACTCTCTCGTTACATCTTAAAAAAATCAGAAAGTTATCATGTACTTACACAGCTTGGTTTTCTTGGG